CGGTTTAACGACGAAGTTGAGTTAAAATAGGCTGTTTTAGCTCATTTTGCAGACAAAACAAAAGAATATATTTTTAATGGATTGAGTTGTTAATAAAGAGATGTAATAAGTGTATTGAAGTTAACGGGGATTATATTGAAAAATAAAATAAAATTGTTACTCTACTTTGTTTCTTTCATATTCAGGCCGGGAAATTTGGGCGCTGCCCTCGTATATTTCCAGTTAAAATGTGAAATGAATATTTGAAATTTTAAAGACTATTTAAAGAGAAACCCCTTTATTTTTTATTTATTTTAGTGAATTAATTGTTACAAACACCCAGTTGTATACAAAGTCTATCTCTTCTTAGGCTCGAAGTGGTAGCTCTGCTAATAGTGTCAGGATAAGCACGAATAGTTTTTGCACTATCAATAGTTTTTAGTCTTCCCCATAAAAAATAATCTAAGGGATTAAAGTCAGGTGACCTTCCTGGCCAAGGAACTACTGAACCTATCTAATCGACCGGTTTGTAGAATTTTGATTAAGAAATTCGGTTACTTTTCGACCCAAGTGAGGCCATCGTGATGAATCTACATTGTATAAAGTTCTCCATACTCTCACCAGGACTACGTTAAGTCGATTATCTATTTTTCAGACACCAGTAGAAAGTTGAGCATCAACCATATAAGTAGAATTAAGTTTATTAACCACGTTTTGTTCATACAATAATGGCAAGTCATAAATACAATATGTAGAAAAATATGTATATAAAATACGACATAATGAATAAATTATATAAAGAGTGTATAAATTATATAAAACACTGTATAACACATATCAACGGGACAGTGGATATAACAAAGAAAAAGACGTTCACAGATGCCGAGTAAAAGCAGTGCCTTTTAAGAAAGGTCAAGATATATATTTTTTAATTTTCTATTACTTAGAACTTTCACGTTAGCTGGTAGTTTATTGTACAAGTTTATGTTTAGTGCATTTTTTTGACTTTTGGTATATGTTTGCATCTTGAAGCACGAAGTAGCTTGTATCTGCGCTCATATAAACATTTGATATCTCGATAACGGTAGGTCCTATGGGGTCGCCGTTGGTATAGAAATGATCACCGACGAAACAAAAACTGTTTTTTGTGTCTGTCCGTTCTCCGTTCTCTGTTCTCGTCTTTTGGTTTTTCCTAAATAACTTTCGAACCGTTGGGGCTACAAAATTGAAATTTTTTTGGACATTGCTATGAAACACGATAAGTGTCCGAAATTTGAAGCAATCGACTTCATATCTGGCACATATATGCAGCTTTACCTCGTGACGGAACCTATTGAAAATGGGGGGGCTGGAGGGTCGGGAAATATTCTAAAAAATAATAAATCGCGCGTGCAAAAACTGTTTACGAGACCAAAAAAAATCTTAATCCAAAAGAAGCAGAAGATACGGCTCTATAAACTTATATTCGTGATAATTTTTCAAGAATATACAGGGGCGCCGCAAATTCAAAAAAACTGAAAAATGGGTCCCCCTATTATTGAAAATTGGCAATAATTTCAAATCTGTGTTTTAGGTGTCAGTTTCTTTTACATGTTCACGATATGCCGTGCGATATTAAAAAACATAATAAGTACTCCAAATTTGCAGCTACCGATTTCAGACTTGGGAGAGAAGTAGAAGTCTGGACGCGCATTTAGAATCTTTAATTTAGGAGCAATAAAATAACGCGAAGTATTTTTTTTTATTTTTGATTTTTTTTGTGGTTATTTTGGCATCCAGAAAAACATCTTTGCCCTCAAAGCCGTTCATCCGATCGGAAAAATTTCGGCGCTATAACTTTTGTTTCACGCATTTTTTCGATTATATACAAGGTGTTATAGTTATGGACGAAAATATAAATGACCCTGAAAATTGGTCTTTTAGAGAGTAAATTATTAACCGTAAATCAAAATTCATACAAACAACAGCTAATCCGGTCAAACAGTGTTATAGGCCGTATCAAGGGCTACAATTTTTGTATTTATGGTTTTCGTCTATCACATATCATTTCACGCCCTTAATCTAGATGCGATGATGTCATTTACAATTACGACGTACTTGCATTGATTCAGAAAACAAGTAGTTCTTTGAAAACCATTTACTCCTTTGGAAAAATTCGGATATCAGGAAACTAAGGAGATCCAGAGCTATTTCGAAGATTGTTGGACTTATATACAGAGTACGTCGTTTGTGGGCAAAAAATTCTAATAGATCCTAGAAATTTCTGCTTTTGTGGGTGAATTATTGGCGATACATGAAAAACTTTTAAAGACGTGATAATACTGTGTTGAGAGAGAGTTTGAGGTTTCGTCTACAATACACGGGACGCAAGATATTTGAAAAAAATGTAATTTTAAATTGGAATTACCAGTACAAATTTTGATATTTACCGAAGTATGCCATAAATTTCAAGTTTGACGAAATGTGAAGGACACTTTATACAGGGCGTATTCACAATCAAATTACATCGATTTTGCGAAAGTTCCATAGTGGTTCGCAGGAGCACGATAGGATAATATTGCGTCCCTACAAGAATCCGCGAAGCGCCTTCTTTTTAAAATAAAAAGCTGATTCGCGCTATTCACGACGAACTTGTCCCGCTCACCGACGATTTTTCGAAAGCAATCTTGTTATTTCTAGTTAAATGATCATAGTAAGAGGAGTTCTGACTGAAGCTGTCTATGTTTTTGTGTATTTCTAATAATTGATAATAAATATACAGACAAGGAAGTGGCATAATTTCCAACTTCTTAAAAATTGGTCGACAGTGCTCCAGATAACCTGCACCGGCAATCAAACGAACAACTTTCTATTTCAACTATGCCTTAAGTTAGGTGAGAGTGAAAAAGAGAACACAAGACACAAGATTTTAGTATGAGGGGCCCAATTTAGACTATCGTCAAGCGTTACTCCCAAGAGCCTTACATTCTTGCCCTCCAGTACATTATCATTAGTTCAGAAAACAAAACGTTGTGTCTTATCTGTGTTTGGTTTAAGGTTATTGTTAGTGAAGCAAAGTACCGCCATCCGCTGAACATTATCAACATTGTGCATAAGTTCGTTGCAGTCTTTGCCATAAGTCACAAACGATGTGTCGTTCGCTTAAAGTGTACATTTATTGGGAAACAGAAAATGATACAAGTCATTGATGTAAATAGTGAACAGTAGCGGACCCAAGGCGGATCCCTGTGCACAGTGGAGCAGCCGGTATTAAAATGAAATTGGGAATCACAAATGCATTTTGTTTTTTGAAAAAATAGTGATAATTAATTTTTTAAAAGTGTCTCGAAAACCTTACCAAATATGGGAACTATTGATATGGGTCGGAAATCATTTGGAGAGTTTGTGTTACCTTTTTGAAATATTAGATCCACCATCGCGACCTTAAATTGCGCGGGAAAACTTCCGCTATCAATACATTTGGTAAATAAAAATGTGAGAGGTGTTACCTTCAAAATAATGCTTTTAATGTCATAATAGTCATAAGAGCTAGATTTTTTCAATGCAATTACACAGCCTAAAACATCGTCTTCTGCCATCCAGTGCAAGAAGAAAGATGAAGTTACATTTGGGATTTTATTCAGGCACTCCTCACTCTGTACTTCAGGGTTGACAGTTAAAGAGACCAGAATATTAGCAGCAACATTGGTAAAAAACCTATTAAACTCGTTGGGTGAAAGAGTGCTTAAAGGGTCTTTTTTATAACAATTTCTCTCATAATTTATAATTTTCCATTTGTCTGTGGCTTTATTATTAGACCGACTAATATAATTATCAAATGCTTCTTTTTTTGATTTTACGATTATTTTTGTGTAATTCTTGAAATGATTTATAAATACGTTTATGTTCTGGCTTTTTAATTGTATCAGCAATGGCTTTTATCGCTGTTTGGATTAATCACTGATAACTGAAGTTTTTTTATTATAAGAAAGACCATTTATTTAACATCATTTGACAAGTAGAAATTCTCCCATGAAATGTCATTTAAACATTTTTAAATTTTTTCGATGCCTGTACCATTAATTTTTCTTCTAAATATTTGCCTAGTGAAAATTTGTTTTACCTTTTGTAGTATTGCCTCTTCTTGTTGAAATTTATTTTATTGACGTTTGCTCTCACAATACATAAGATTTACAGCCACCTGAACTTTATAATAATAATATAAACAAATGGCATAATTAGAAATGTATGTCAAAAGTAACGTTTACAGATCTAAATATATTTGTCGATTTCGCGCGTTATTCTTTACACGAGGAAAAGGAAATTAGACGATTTGGTCCTAAACACGAAACTTCCGATAGCCCTCGACTTGCAAATAATCCCCGAAAGCTCAAAAAGTCTATTTTCGAGGTCGATTCCTCCTCAAAAAAATTTTCTGAATGGACTGCGCCTCAATTCCCTAGCTCGAAAGTCGTTCCCAGCTCATGTCGCCATATACTAAACTCGATAGCGAGCTAACATTGAATTTCCACATCGAAAAAAGGATTTATTAAGCATATCTACGCTGCTATGTGGATCAATCAATCAATGTTGCTATTGCCTGAGGCCATAAGGCTCAGCAGAAAACTGCGAGTCGAAAAATAGAATAGATCCAAATGCCTGACTGTTGAAAAAGCACTGACGAATACGCGAAGCTGCTTTGGCTAACGACACCCATAATTATTACTTTGAATGTATTTATGTGCCAAATTCTTATAATTTTCGTATTTATTTAATGCAAATCCCTGACTCACCATTTGTTGTTTTGTTGCATTATTAATGTACGTGTGAAGCTGAACAATATCATATCCATAATCATATTGGTAAGACAGTAATGAGTACATATTAATTTTAATTTTTGTGATGTTATGAAAGCCTAAAAAGGGACAATTATTATTGAATCTATTCAACTGATTTTATATCGATAAGTAGATACTTATCGTTCTCAAGGGTCGACGTTTTGTATAAACGGAGAAAATTTCAAATACCAATGCCAAGTAAGTCACGATGCGTAACCAAGTTCTAATAGGTGTTTTATTGATATCATTTGCGGTGAGTCGAACCATTTCACTTGAAAACTAAGAGGTTGTTGTATCAATTCACAACAAAGGAGATAGAACTACAGAGGAACCCTGCTTGTCAACACAACTTATAAAGTTCTTTCGAAACTTGGAGTCTATCAATGTAGACATTATCTACCTATCAATCAATATTTATCAATGTAGACAAATAATGGAGAAATGGTCGAGACTTACATCAAATGTTCATAGATTTCAAACTGGCATTTGGTAGAGTATGTAGGACTGTGAGCAGCAATGCAAGAACTTGGCTTTCTCAAAAGGCTGATGGAAGCAGCGCAGTGCAAACTTAGGGTAGGCTGACAACACTCAGAGCCACTCGCGGTAAACGGAGGTCTAAAGCATTTTTGCCACAACACTTGAATACAGCTCCGGAATATATAATAGTAAAGCGAGAGTTGAAGCTCCAACTTCAAGGACTGTTTTGCAGACGATGTAGATCTGATAGGAAAAGGCAGAATAAATATGCGGGAAACTCTCACTAGCTAGGAGAAGGAAAGGGCTCCAAATCAACGAAATAAATATACGTGAGTCGAAAGGTCGAGAACAGAGAGAGGATTACTAACTTTGAAAGACTAAGCTAAATAAAGCTAACCAAGATTAATCTATATATAACAGTGACAAAACCAGTAGTTATGTAGGACTGCAAGACTGGGACGAAAACTGTCGCAAAAGAAAAACTGTTGCGCATGTGGGAGAGAAAAGTCATGCACTTAAAAAATATCTTTATAAACAAACCAGGAAATTTTGCAAGATATATTACACTTATTAAAATAAATAAGAACTAAAAGTAAAGATTTTCACGAAATTATTTTTACATGGTGGTATAGATACGTGCATGATGTCTTTGCTTGCTTTGTTGGAACGGACAGACAAATAAGATTTATTAGATTGCTTAGTAGTATCTTTAGACCAAAATTATTTTAAATTTAATGGAAGGTTTGATTATGGGAAATCCACTCAGTCCTTTGTTAGCAGAGATTTTTATGGATAATTTGGAAAATATCATACTAGAACATCCTTTAAGTAAATATTTTCGATGGTGGTATAGATACGTGGATGATGTCTTTGCTTGCTTTGTTGGAACGGAGAGACAATTGAATTCTTTTTTAAATTACATTAACTCATTACGTAATCGTATAAAATTCACTACCGAGATTGAACAGGATAACTCCATTAATTTTTTAGACTTAACTATTACGAAAATGCAAAACAAATTAGATTTTTTCATTTATCATAAACCTTCACACAAGGACACAGTCATACATAACAGCTCAAATTACCCTTATACACACAAAATGGCTGCATTTCACTCTTTTATACACAGATTTCTTAATACGCTACTTTCAACAGAAACTTACAACAAAGAACTTAATATCATGAAACAAATTGCACTGAACAACGGCTACAATCCCTCCATAATAGATAAAATTATAAACAAAAAACAAATCTAGACAACAGTAAACTCTATTTATCCGAAATCTAATACAGAACACGAACAATTTAAAACAATTACATACATAGGAGAACCTAGTGAAAAAGTTTCAAAACATTTGTCAAAATGTGGTTTAAAAATAGCTTTCAGAACTAACAACACAATGGGAAAATTTTTAAAAAACAATAAAACGAAATGTCCAAAATCTCAAAAATCAGGTGTCTACAGGTTGAAATGGAGATCTTATCCTAAAATTTATATTGGACAAACAGGTAGATCCTTCAAGAAACGCATTAACGAACATAAAAGAGGCTTTAAAAACAATTGTCTAGATTCTAATTATGCTACACACTTAAACACAGAAAAACACATTTTTGACGACAATTTAGATATTTTACATACAGCCACAAAAAGTAGAAAATTAAATTTATTGCCATGGAGATTAACAAAATGAGACATTCAAATGTATTGCTTAAAGATCAATTAGATTTAAATACCTCTCCTTTATTGAACAAATTCCCATAACAACATTTATTAAGGTTTCATTGTTTTGTAGTATATATAGCAGCAGGTAATTTGTAAATATTACTTTTGATAAAGACAAAACAATTGTCATGTAAAAACATATAATTTCGTGAAAATCTGAACTTTTAGTTCTTATTTATTTTGATAAATGGATTTTCATCAAGTAAAAGCCAGCTCAGTTCACTTACACTTGTTAACTTCCGTACGGTTTAAATATATTAAAAATTGAGAACCATATACCATATACGTTTAAGTTGAATACATTTTTCAGAGATCTGATCTTTTGATCGATCTTCCGGACGGCACAGTTCGTGGAGTAGAAACCATAACCGAAAAATACACGTACTACTCTTATCGAGGCATTCCATTTGCGAAGCCGCCGCTAGGGAATTTGAGGTTCCAGGTAAATTCGGTAAATCGCTTGTATATTGCAATGTTAAATATTCTGGTTTTTTGCAGGCTCCTGTGCCAAACGAAGGATGGGACGGAATTCTAGATGCTACGGAATACAAAAGTTGTTGCATATCGATGACCTTTGCTGGAGATGAACCCCAGCAAAGTGAAGACTGCCTGTATATTAATGTTTACACGCCACCGCGAAACGTAAGTCTTTCTTATAGAATCTTTTAAATATAATCCCAAAGTTTTAAGAACATCCTTGCCGAAAACATGAAAAACGAAACCATACACAATTTTCAAATAAATTTTTATGTTGATCTTCGATGCGAATGAGACTGAAAGAATTAAGTTTCGGTAACCGCAGTGTACATACCACTCTTAAAGCACTTTTTTTCAAACTTTCCAGCAGCGTATTATGGGCCACCATGTCGTTGTCATCTTCATTGTTTTCATATTTCCAATACTGTCACTGTCACATAAAAAAAAGGTAAATGATTTCACAAATACGTTAGAAATGAAAAGAAAGCCTAAAATGGTTCCACATAGGGAGTTAGAAAGAACAACCGTTTTTTCCATTAATAGCACACAAACAGTTAGACAGCAACATCATTTTTTGTAATTGAAATGTCCTATATATAATTAGCTTAGATCGTAGACCTTTTTTTCCTAATTTCAAAAACATATTGTTTATTGACATTTAGCCGTTTTTGAGATATTCCAGTTTAAAAATAATTACCATTCGATTTCTGGACAATAGCCATATTGTTTAAAAATGGTGATGTCTGCCTTGATAGCAACCATATTATCTATGTTTGCACACCGAAGACTAGGACAATAGAAAGAAATTTTAATTTACTTTGAAGATAAATTGTTATACTATTACGACACTCAAAATCATGACTTTAAGTTCTACTTTCTTAATTTTTATATTTCATATTTCCAATCCTGAATATTCTATACCTGACGTTAAAAAATATCCGGAAAGTCCTGTAGTAAACAATAAAAATGAACAAAATACTGAATATTCTAATACCTGTATAATATAGGCATAAAATACATTTTTTGCAAGCTATCTGCACAAAGAGAATGTTATTGCTTACAACAATTTCGTGTTCAAACAAACAGGCTGATTAACGCAAGAGTTGGTCTTCATGAAAAAAGATTTAATAAGACATTTTATTGTAAGACAAACTGATATCCACAAGGAAAAAACACTCAAATCTTAAAAATATACGTATTCATTTTTAGTAATCACAATCGTTGCACAAACCTGCCTTTAGGCGCCATATTGGACGTGAAAACAAACTTTGTTTCGTCAAAATGCTCAAATGCTCAAATGAAATTTCAAGCCGTACCAGCTTTTTTGTCAAACTTGCTGTATATGTGCTTTCGAAAACATTTTTATTAGGTGTGAGTAAATCATGAATTATGTGAAAATTTAAGTAGGTAATAAAAATAATTTGTAATTTTATTTTAGATTTAAACATTAATACATACATAAATAAATAAATATTGTTTAGTATCTTTCCTAACAAAACCCCAACTAATTAAATTCTAAGGAAAGTACGGACCTGTTCGGCCATATTTTATTCTTAGAGCTTGGTCTTTCTTTAATTCGTATCAGTTAGTCACTTTCTTATATTTATGAACAGACTTTACCTTAATAATATATACTACTGGACCCTCACCGACAGGAATTTTTTCATCCACATAGCAATCATCAAATCAATCAAAAAATAAGATAGCCCCATTGTTTTTCAAATTACCTGATATCTGATAATAGCGCTAAGATGACGTAACAAAAACGGGCTACTTACATTCGATCATTGCTATTTTTTTCTTGTTATGTTGGTACACATGTCCCTAATATATGTTCACAGTTCTAGTCAGTTTGCACTTTACTTTTTTTGTGAGACAGAAGCGTTAGATGTGTTTTGTGAGCTCGGCGAATTTCTGCTGTCAAAAAAATGGAACAATGAATTTGCATAAATTTTTTTGTAAAAAATGGAACACTGTGCTGCAAAACACTTGAAGTGTTGACAACAGTATATGGTGAATATACTTTGAGAAAAAAAAATGTTGATAAGTGGTACAAGCTGTTGCAAGATGGCCGAGAAGGCGCCGATGACGAACTCGCTTTGGACGCCCCAACACGTCAATAACTGATGAAAGCGTTGAAGAAGTGAAGCAAATGGTGTTGACGAAATCGCCTAGAACGCAATAAGGACGTCAAGTTCGATCAAGGTTTTGCTTACTGTCTTTCTTGATTATCTTGGCCTATTACATCAAGAGCTTTTACCACAAGGTCGTACGGTCAATAAAGAGTATTACCTTAAAGTTATGCGCCGTTTGCCAGAAGCAATATGAAGGAACGTCTGGACTTAATGGATTTTTGGCCAAAAACAAAACCAGAATCATGCCTCAGCCACCATATTAACCGGATATGGCCCCCTGCGACTTGTTTCTGTTCCCAAAACTCAAGAAACCCATGAATGGAAGGAGGGTTGGCACAAGTGTATTATATTGGGTTGGAACTAGTTTGAAGGGAACAACATTAACTTTGATAAATAAATACTTTTTGATAAAACTTAAAAGTCACCTTAGTTTTTGAATACACCTCGTATATCATATACCTATTTTTAATACTTTGAGATTTATTTTAACTTTTTCCATGTTTACCCTTTTTTACTATAATATTAGTTGGCCAATCAACCAACAGGGCCCTGTTGAGATTGAAAAATGAAAAATGAAAAATGAACAGTTTCCATTAAATTCAAATTTTGCATCCTAACTTTCTTATAATTTTGCAAAACTTTGGTAAGCTAATTGATGCCCGTTTCTGATAGCGGATCACACCAGTCCGATTACTTAATTTGCAGACCTCGTATATGATCACGTCAAGTGGAACCCCCATTTTCCACTTGATCATAAAAATTTAATCTATATATATTTTTTATAAGTATTTATGATGCAAAATTGATCCCCGAAACGATTTTTTAAAATTTTGATTAACAGCATTTTTTTTATAATGAAAATTTTAAGCGCTTTTAATTAAAAATCTCTAAACTGTAAAAGACAAATTTATGAAATTTTCAGCATCTATGGTCAAATGTCTATAGTTTAAAAGGATATTAATGACTTAAAATTATTTGTTTATTTTCTTATTATTAACTAACTTTTAAGTTAACAAATGAAAATTTAACTGATTTCTTGGTAAAAAAATCATATTTTTTTGTAGGTCACATGCTTTATCCATTTATGTTTAAGATTTCGTAAGAACATTTCACTCTTCGTCATTAGTTTAAACAAAATGAATTTTGCTTTAAGGTGGTAGACACTGATTCAGTAGAAATACTAAAAGGACGTCGAACTTCCATTGTCTTTATTTTAACTTACGCAACGTTTCGGACGTTATCAAGTGTAAACTAAACTTAATTCTAAGGCTACAAAGTTTATATACTTTTTTTTGTTTATATATAGAGGTCGTTTGGTTTCGCCAATGTATGACTCTCCGCATTCACAGGGTTTCTGGTAGATACACTCTTTTTCTTGAGTCGACGTTTCAAGCTTTGTTTTTGTGAGTACACTTCTTAATATTGATCCAGATTTAAATACAATTTTAACTTGATATTGTTTAGCTATTCGCCTAATCTTTTCTGATATTCATTTCACGTATGGGATCGTCAAGAGAGAAAGAGTATCTACCTCACATGGTTCCGGTGTTGTTTCCCGCTTACAGTTTGTTATTATTTTGTTTATGGATTTTTCTGAGTAACCGTTCTGAAGCAAATCCTTTTTAATACTATTCAATTTGGTAGCTAGACTTTTTTCTCAATCATCTTAATTATTTGCGAAGTAGAAATAATGGTTCTATTAACATGTCGGTAGATAGGAAACCTACCCACACAGGAGAATATCTAAATTTTGAGTCTAAGCATTCTGAAGCAACCAAACTAGGAATAATTAAAACACTGTGCAAAACAGCAATCACAATATGTAGCGACCAAGCATCTCTCGATGCCGATTACGAATTTCATTTGTTTTTCGCGTATCCTAGTAAATAACAAAATCATTTTAGAAGTCATTCTTGTCTATTCGTGACATAAGTTTATACGCAAAGCATGAAATAATTATTAAAAATAAAAGCTTAAATGTTGTTGAGTTGTGTTTTTTAGTTATTTTAGTATTATGACTTTCAATTGTAATAATAATATTTTCTGTGATTTAAAATGGACCGAGTGAATTATGAAATTATGTGATTAAAAAATTAGTTTTAATTATTTTTTTTATTATAATTATTTAGTGAATCATAAAAATGATTTTGGTGTTGTTGCTAATTGGACTTTTTTCGCCACATCTCATGGCAAAGGAGCGTGTGATGGCTTAGGGAGTGTAAAAAGACAAGCTTATCGTGCTAGTCTTCAACGTGATAAAAACAACCACATAACAACCCCACTCTCCTATTTTCAGTGGGCCAAAGTTCTTTTAAAAAAAATACCAACCACGATTCGAACGCTTAATTACAATAAAATACACTCGCCAATTTCATTGTTACAAACCAATGGAAAATTTTTCACTAGAATGAAGGCTCGTTTCAGAGAATTAAAAAGTATTTATTTAAAAAAAAATAAGTTTAAAAAAACAGAAACAAGTGACGACCAATTTACAAATTAATTATTTAAACTTGTTTGTTCTATTGAGTATGTTATAATTGTTAATATTGTTAAAAAAAATAAAATTTGCTTAAAATTTTCATTATAAAAAGAAATGTTCTTAAAATCGAAAATTTAAAAAATCGTTTGAGGGATCAATTTTCTATCATAAGTACCTATAAAAAATATATATAGATTAATTTTTTATGATCAAGTGGTAAATGGGGGGTCCACTTGACATGATCTTACTCATATATTAGAGTGTGTAATGACATAGTTGCATCATAATCTTTGTTTTCCAGATTACAGAGAAACTACCGGTTATGTTGTCGATATATGGAGGCTCTTTTTCGACTGGATGTGCTACAGATACTGTTTCCGACCCCTACCCTCTTGTGGCAGAAGATGTCATTGTGGTTACGTTCAATTACCGTGTCGGTTTGTACGGTTTCCTGAGTACCAACGACAGCGTGACAATATTCGGCATGAGCGCGGGTGGCATATCTGTCGGGGCGCATGTTGCGAACAAAAAATCCGCAGGATTATACAGAGCCGCGATCTGCCAAAGCGGCTCTGCGCTATCGAAATTGCCCGCTACATCTCAGACTGATCCGAAGAAAGTTGCCTACGACATTGCCAGATCTATAAATCCTCTGATCTCACAGGATAGCGAGGAGATCAGGGATTTCTTGCAGAGTGTACCGGCGGATGTTTTGACTAACGCTTACAACGCGAATCCCCAGGTAAGTGAAGGTTATTTTGAAATATACCTTCATCTTGTCTACGGAAGTTCGCGATTCCTAAAGTCAATCTCTTCTTCATATACCGTTTCCATTTCTTAGGTTGGCTATCATCATCGCTATTTTATCTTTGGAAGTTACGGAATTAAACAACATTGCTTTCGAAAAATCGTCACTGGGCGGGGCATAAGGGATGTATTGTTTTTCACAAAATCGATGTAATTTTGTTGTCCACGCACCCTGTAAAAAGTGTCTTTCACATCTCGCAGAAATTCCAAGTTACGGCAAACTTTGGTGAATATTAAAATTTGTACTGGTAATTGCGATTTAATTTTTTTTTCTCAAAGATCTTGCGCACCCTCTATGATAGACGAGAACTGAAACTCTCTCTCGACACAGTTTACGATACTGCTTAAACCAAATTATCACATCTTTATGGCCAATAATTTACCCACAAAAACGGAATTTTTTAGGATATTTAGGATTTTTTGCTCATAAACGACACACAATGTTAAGCAATATTGGAAACAGATGTTATAGCCCTGGTAAATGGTTATGGACAAAATATTTTTTTTCTAAAGCTTGCAGTTCGCCGTAATAGTTAATGACGTCATCGCGTCTAGAGTGAGCCCGAGGAATGGTGATTTTCATATGGGTTCATATTCATATGGGCAGCGTATGTGGCGTGTCTAAACCAATTAGCTATATTTTTTACGAATTTTGATTTAAGTCTAATGATTTACTCTGGAATAGGACAATTTTCAGAGTCTTTTTGATTTTTGTCCATAATAGGAAAACTGTGTATGTTAAAGAATTTTGCCGATCGGGGTAACAATTTTGGAGAAAATGATTTTTTCCTGAAAACCAACATAACCCAAAAAAAATTTTCGATAATTTTTAAAAAGTACGTCGCCATACTTGACGGTGCCCAGTTTCAAGAGATTAAATGTGGGTGTTACATTTGTTACATTTCTTAATATAGCACGTAATATCTTGAACACCCTGTGTAACCATCCGCATGGGTTTGTAGTTAGTTATCTTAATAAGGGGAACCCAATTTTCAGTTTTTTGTAAATTACCGACTCACTCTGCGTATTTTTGAAAAATTATAAAAGAATAAAAGTTTTTAATTAGATTTTTGCTCGTCTTTCAAATTAAGAATTTTTTCGATGTTATATACCGTTTTTGAGAAATGCTTTTGTTTTCGAGACAATGCAAATGCGGTTTTTAATTTATTAAAAATACTTCCCGACCCTCCAGCCCCCCAATTTCAATAGGTTCCGTCAGGGAACTATGCTCTATATTTGTGCCAATTTTGAAATCGATAGCTACAAATTTCAGACACTCATTCTGTTTCATAGCGATGTACGAAAAATAGATGAAAATCGCAAAAAAAGACGGATTTATCGAGATTAATAAGTCAGATGACGTGACATTAAACCATTTTCTCAGATTTCTTCTCATTGCAACAGATGTTTTTCCTAAAATTGTGCCCTATTATGAGTTGAGATATTGCAGCGTTTTTTTTTTCACTTCATGTAGGATTTCTACATCTTTCGCCAGTTTTCTCAGAACTTCCACATAAGTCACCTGCTTTGTCAGTGGCATTCTCAACATCCTATGCTAGGTCAACATCTCGAAAGCTAGCTGTATGCGTTGAAAGTCCAAGCTTCTACATCATATAAAAGGACTGGGAACACAGAAAATTTGAGCACCGGTATTCCTAGATTCAAGCTCAGATCGCGACTACAGAGCAGTTTTTTGACTTTATTAAATATGGACGAGTCTTCTCAATGCGAATCTTTATCTCCCAACAGTAGCAGTCGACTTAGGCAGTCATACCTTTTGACCCTTTCCAAATTTTCACCTACAACACATACAACTGTTCGCTGAGCGCGACAGAGATTCATGTACTTGGTCTTGGTCGAAGGCTTTGGTGAAGATTTGTTGTGAAGTTGTTGTGTTTGCCAAAACTAACCAAAACTTGCTCTCGTAATTAGAACGGTATAGAGGTATTAGTAATGAAATTAATGAGCATTAGAGGAAATAGTCAACTGAAATGGGAAATTTGGTGGAATTACTAGGAATCAGCTGTACAGGGTGGTGGTGATTCATATGCTTTTAACAGGAAAAAAATATTTTTCTACTCCCGTCTGTAAAATACCTAATAACACGCCGATCTAGCGTGCGGGAAGCATCACTTCACCACGTCAGTTTCGATTCCCACGGATCCGAGCTACTTCGGACACTTCCGGGATTTTACCGCACGTGTTTGGGAGCAATCGGATGTTTTCGGTGATATTTCCCACGCTTTGAATTTTGACGTTTGTCAATTCTGCCGGTCATATCAGTGAATGTATTCGTGTTGTTTTGCGAGAATGTACTCAAAAACTAACGGTCCCAGAAAAATTATAGTATGCAACATGCTCGGTAAACTTTTTAAGTCACTCGTTTATTAAACACTCGCTCCGCTAGTGTCAAATAAACTCATGAGTCAATTGTCGTTTAACGCACTTGTTGCATAATACACTATTATATCCAAACCAAACATTTTGATGGTATCGCAATGGAGTTTTAACCATTAAGTCATGTAAATCGATTTTGCTGTGCCTAGTTTAAAGATAGAGTTTTCCTGTTAAAACCCGCCAATTATGACTATCCTGTACAGACTTTTGATCGCGCTTTTATGTTTCTATAGACTGGACCAGTTGTAGAAGTCGAACACGAGAATGCATATATAACGGAGCTTCAATTCGAGTTGATCGAATCCGGAAACTTTAACCAAGTTCCTCTCATGATAGGAACAACTGCCGGTGAATCCCTTACTTTTTATGGACGTAAGTGATGACGAATATTAATCTTCAATTCAGAAAATTGAAAGTATCGTTTCAGTTCTATGGATCCAACTTATAGCTAAGGCGCTCTCTTTTGATTTGAACGAGGAGTCATTGATACCCTTCAACCTGAACCCCTTGCCGGGTACCAATTTGACCGAAGTTGCAGGTTTGATCAAACAAACCTACTCCGATAATCAACCATTCGTATTAAATTTGGCTTCATTTGTTGAGGTAACTACTAACACTTTTCAACTACGTTCCACTCTTAAAAAATGACTTTTCCTGCGGTTTTCAGTTCACCAGCGACGCTAATTTCGTTAGGCCTTCTCTCAAACATGCCGAACTTCAATCCAACTACACTCCGGTGTATTTCTACCAGTTCTCGTATTCTGGAACAGTGGCTCAATTTCATGTGATCGTTGATGGTGCCGGAAAAACGGGACACGGAGAAGATGTTATTTATCTGCTTGACTTCCCAGGTTTCCAATTAACCACGGACGAAGAGTTTCTAACTAGAAGGAGAATGGCCAGACTATGGACGAACTTTGCCAAGACACTGTAGGTTACGTTCTTTCGAATCCATATTGGAAATAGCCGAGGTGTTTTATTTTTTATTGTAGGAATCCCATCCCTGATGAGACGGACCCGCTTCTGAACGTAACGTGGCCTCAAGTTTCGGGATCAAATATTCCTTACCTGGATATAGATGCCACCCTGGAGGTCAAGCCTGGTAAAAAGGTTAAAGAAATGGCAATGTGGAATGAAGTTTTCTACAAATATGGCCAGCAGCCTTTCGTGGGTTTCTAATTTAGAAACCGCTTATATATATAATCCTGAAAATTATAACTAGACTTTTATTTAGCTTCATTTTCTGTCCTTCCCATTTGATGTAAGTAACCGCTTCATCAGTTAATCTGGAACAAGTTAATTATCATTTTCCTTAAACTAAACACTATAATAGAAATTAAACACTAAAATGTTAACAAAACCTTCATGTAACCTGGATAGTATGGTCCACCACACGAAAAATGGTCATGACTTGCCTGGTCAATCATAAAAGGAATGCCCTAATACCGCGTGGTTGTAATAGATGTTTATTATAAGTTTTTCTACTCTCTGTAAAATACCTACTTGTACACCGATATGACGTCATTTTGTCACGTCAGTTTCGTTTTCCACGGATTCGAGCCACTTCTCGAGACATTTCTGGGATTTTACCGCATGAGATTGGGAGCAATCGGTTTTCGGAGATATTTCCCACGCTTTCAATTTTCACGTTTTTACAAACTACCTGCTACTATATATAATGAAAAATGACCAAAAAACCTTAATTAATGTTGTTGTGAGAATTTAAGTTTAATAATGGAGAGGTATTCAATTCTAATTGATCGTTAAACAATACATTTGAATGTCTTATTTTTCTAATCTCCATGGCTTCCAATAAATTTAATTTTCTACTTTTTGTATCTGTATCTAAAATATCAAAATTGTTGTCAAAATTGTGTTTTTCTATGTTTAAGTGTGTAGCAGTGTAAATTTTAGGACAAGATGCGCATTTCAACCTGTAGACACCTGATTTTTGACATGTTGGACATTTCGTTTTATTGTTTTTTAAAAATTTTCCTATTGTGTTGTTAGTTCTAAAAGCTATTTTTAAACCACATTTTGACAAATGTTTTGAAACTTTTTCATCGGGGTCTCCTATGTATGTAATTGTTTTATATTGTTCGTGTTCTGTATTAGGTTTCGGATAAACAGAGTTTACTATTGTCTGGATTTGTTTTTTGTTTACAGTTTTATCGATAATGGACGGATTGTAGCCGTTGTTCGGTGCAATTTGTTTAATGATATTAATTTCTTTGTCGTAATTTTCTGTTGAGAGTGGCGTATTAAGAAGTCTGTGTATAAAAGAGTGAAATGCAGCCATTTTGTGTGCATAAGGGTGATTTGAGCTGTTACGTATGACTGTGCCCGTGTGTGAAGGTTTATTATAAATGTAAAAATCTAATTTGTTTGGCGATTTCGTAATAGTTAAGTCCTGTTCAATCTTGATGGTGAATTAAAGATCAAAATCCCTTCTAACGGAACACTATTGTCTTTTGATGTACAAAACTTATTTCCCAGTATTCCACCTATGGATGTGATAGATTTAGTATATTTCACCTTAACTCGGAAACAGGTTAACCCATTAGTGAAACAAGATTTATTAGATTGATTAATAGTATCTTTGGACCAAAATTATTTTGAATTTAATGGACAGATTTGCATCTCTAAAGTAGGTTTGATTAGAGCACTTAGTCCTTTGTTAGCCGAGATTTTTATGGACAATTTGGAAAGTATGATACTAGAACATCCTTTAAGTAAAAGTTTTCTATGGTGGTATAGATGCCTGCTTTGTTGGACACAATTGAATTCTTTTTTAAATTACATTAACTCATTACATAATCTCACAAAATTCACTATCGAGATTGAACAGAATTTTTATATTTTACATACAGCCACAAAAGTAGAAAATTATTTATTGGAAGCCATGGAGATTATCAAAACGATCAATTAGATTTCAATACCTCCTCTGCATTATTAAACTTAAATTCACACAACATTAATTAAGCAGCATTAATTAAGTAGCAGTTAGTTTGTAATTATTACATTTGATAAAGACAAGATGTCGTAGAAACAATTGTCATGTAAAAATATATAGTTTCCTGAAAATCTGAACTTTTAGTTCTTATTTATTTTGACAAATCGTAATATTTTCCGAGTTATATCTCGCGAAAATTCTTCTTTTTAATTTTATTTTTACCGTGGTTTGCTGAATTCTCAACCGAATAAGCTGGTATTTTTCACGCAGCCCTGATTCAGTAAAAATTATCATTACAAAATAAAAGAGTTTCAGAAATCTGCCACTAGAGGGCACTTTACCTAGAATATTTTTTTATTTTCCCTGTATTTTATTGATTTAGACTGATATAGCACAATAGAACAGATTGCTCGAATCGAAGGAATTAATGTCATTTGAAAAAGTCATTACAATCCGTTAGCAATTGGATTCTATTAAAACAGCTTATTATCCAACTGCTACTGTGATGGGCCATCAGGAATATTTAAATAATGAATATCGCAATACGCATTTTTGCTACGGAAGAGCAGATCAAGCACGACGGCTTATTTTATCCCAATTTCATCTGCTAAGACATTCATCGATACTGGCAGAAGACTTGGGGTTAAAGAGGATGCTTCAAACCTGATAGTATGAATAAAGGGAAAACATGGTATGAAAGAACCGCTGTAAGAGAAGCAACAATACTTCAAAATGTGGAGGCTGACCCGTCGGCGATTACGAGAAAACTTGCTGCTCAGGGAAGAATTGCTTGCTCTATAGTTTGGGAAGTTTTGCATGGAAATGATGTTCGACCTTTTCATGTTCAAAGGGTTCAAGCACTGTTTGAGGGTGATGAGAGTAATTTAATGCTATCAAATTTTAGGAAAAATCCAAAATTACTCGCAATTCTCAAACGTCATTTTTACGAGGTTACATTCAGTCGTGATGGCATTGTAAATTTTCGGAATACGCATCAGTGGGACATTGGAAACCCACATGCTAAAATTGAAAGAAAACATGAGCGCCGGTTTTCTTTAAAGATATGAGCAGGGATTATAGGCGATAATCTTACAGTACCTCATTTCTTTAACGGATTGCTTAATGAGAAAACGTAATTTCAATTTTTCCAAGAGGTAGAGGAAGAGGTACCCTTGCAGTGGAGACAAAATATGTGATTAAAGGAAGATAGCGTTCGAACCCAATTTGACATACAATGAGGCATTTGAATATTGATGGATAGGTGGCGGCGGACCTCTAGCTTGGCCGCCTCGCTCACCAGACCTTAATCCGATGGACTTTTTTTTTGGATTCACTTAAAGTCTTTAGTGTGAAAACTCCCTATAGCGAAACTCGGTATAACGTAAAACTATGTATTACGAACAAAATTTGTTGTACTATTAGGTCTCCACACAAAGCTATGTATTAATCCACTCTGTATAACGAATTTATCACTCTCTATACCGAAAGAAAAAAGAGCACAGGTAACAAAATAAGGAATATAGGCCGACTTGAATTACGTCTCTTACCTTCTCAGAATTCCTTACCCTAATAATCTAATTACCGAGAACCTGGTCGTTCTAAGGCTTTTTCTCGTAATTAGCGGTTATGTCAATGCCTTTATCGGTATGTATAAAAGCACACTATTGTTTTAATCAGTTCTAATTTGACTTAGTGAATACGGCAAGCATGGCGAGTAAGCTGAAAACTTTCTGTCTAGATGATAAAGTTGCTTTAAATCGGAACGGGGAGAAAAGAAAAGTGATGACACCGTTATCCACGATTTGGAAGTGCAAAGAAAAAATCATTCAGGCTGAAGCAGCAGCCAGTTCTAGTAAAAAACTAAGAAAGCCAAAATTTGAAGATTTGGATCGGGCAATGTTGCAGTAGTTCCAACTTAAAAATGTACCACTCTCTGGACCTATCACAAACTAAAAGCAGAAAAGTTTGCTGAACAGCTTGGCATTATTGATTTCAAGGTTTCGGAAGGATAGTTGGGGAAGTTCAATCAGAGACATGGTATAAAATATGGACAGATAAGTGGCGAAACGTCACTAACGATCGGCTGGAGAAGACGTTACCAAAACTAGCAGAAAAGTACCCTGCTGACGATATTTTTAATGCTGATAAAACTGGAATTTTTTAATAAATGACGCCAGATAAATCTCTTAAATTTCGAAGGGAAAAGTGTGTGAGTGGAAAACTTTCTAAAGAACGTATAACAGTGTTAGTAGCTGCCAATATGAGTGAGAGAGAAAAAAAGAAGCTAGTCGTGATTGGAAAATCAACTAACCCACAATGTTTTAAGAACATCAAGCATATGCCGGTCACTTACAAGGCAAACAAGCAGCATGGATGACATCGGAAATTTTTGAAGAGGAGATACGGAAATGGGATGCAGAATTAAAGGGGAGGAAAATATTATTTCTCTTAGATAACTGCCTTGCACATCCCCATATTCCAAAACTATGGAATATCATTTCTTCCAGCCAAAACAACAAATGTATTATAGCCGATGGACCAGAGCGTAATAAAAAGTCTTAAGACTTGAGACAGGAAAAACATTTTAATGGAAATTATCGAGTCCGAAAACAAATTTTCCATTAATATGCTAGATGTAGTCAACTTTATTAGTAAAGCTTGGAAAGAGGTGACAGCAGAAACAATTCAACACTTCTATCGTCATGCAGGACTTATTACCGAGACAGAATGCGAACAGGACTTGGAAGATGATCAGCGACTGAGCGAGTGGATAAAACAGTTTCAAACAACAATTACGTTTACAAGTGAGGAGTTGCAAGATTTTATGGTGACAGCAGCAACAAGCAAGAAAGGGTGAGCAAGAGCACCAAGAGGAAGAAGAAGATGAAGAAGTTGATCTGGAACCACCACCAACCATTCAACAAGCCCTATATTCAGTTAAGCTGCTAGAGATTATTTTTATTTATCTTGGGAAGATGCCCCTCTCGAAGAAATGGTGAAATTAACGCATGATTCAGTAAGAGTTTCCACATTACAATCTGAAATATTTTTGAAACGCCGCTGTATTTGTTTATTATCGTATGAGATTTCTAACCTCAAAACATAAACAAAATTAGTCATGGAGCAATATACGACTGAACAACGTGTAAAAATTGTGCAAGCCTATTATGAAAATGGTCGATCAAGAAAAAATGCATTTCGGCCTCTACGTGAATTTTTCGGCGTG